TTTCTCTTTCTACTTTCAAGAGCAGAGAACAGAGTGACCATAGAGAATGACAGGCTAGGATTTTTTTCCCATTCACTTTAGCAATCTTGCCACTGTAAAATGAATATCCTCTGCAGATTTATACCATGAGCCTTGGGTGGAGTAGTCAGGCTGTGGCTGTGCATCTGAAAGCGTTTCTGACTTGTGAGGATCTTCTGGTTCTAAAGTCTGTATAAAGCCTCGTGGGGGGAATCATAGCCCAGAGACTAAGGGATGGAATAGACCTCCTGAGTAGGAAAAGAAAATCGTATGAACAAGATAGGAGGACAAGGGTAAACTGTAGAGGGAATGTGAGGGGGATCACAACTTTCCAGCAGTGTGAACTCCAGCATTCCTGCTCCTGCTTTCCAGCAGAGGTGGGAGGGCACAGCATTTTGGGAAGGATGCCTATGAAGCACGATAGCCCATTGACACATAGCTGAGTGTGATCTTTCCTCCCAGCAAAGCTCTCCAGGTGTGTTGAGGGCAAACACGGTGGTGAACACTTGGGCAGATGCAGGGACAAGATACACTCACAAAACTCCAAGCAGTACTGCTGTATTTGCTCTTCCTAGAAAGAGATCTGGGTGTCAGAGTCTGAGCCAGAAGTCCAAGAGGTGGAAGCGGAGCCCAAGGGCAAGCTAATCACTGAGAAATGCTTTCATTGGCGGGGTTGGCAGGGGTTTGGTTGGGTTTTTGCTTGTTGATATTGATAGTTCCAGTGTTGCTTTGCTGTCAGTTTAGCCTTGGAAGAAGCTGCCTGCTTGAACATGAGAAGTGAGGTGGTCATCCCTCTTTCCAGCCTCGAAAGTGCAAGTCTGAGCTCTAGAGCTTATGAGGCTTGTTTATTACTGGGTGGTAGTGGATCATCTTTTTTCCTGCTGGCAGGGAATGCTTTCAACAACACCAGACCCCAAACCGTTCTAACATCACACACGAATGAATGATTTGCCTCTTGACTATGCTAAAAATCTGCAATGCTTTTTGGGTGAACTTGAGGAAAAAGGTCTTGACCTGCTGCATGCAGGGAGAGGGATTAGTGCGTGCAGAAGGAGGAAACAAAGCAGGCATTTTTGCTTTGCTAACATCATCTTGTGGCTGACTCATAGGCCTGACTTTTCTGGGAATAAAATTCAGCTACATACGCTTCTGCTTAGCTGCACTTTCTCATAGTGAAACGTGGAGATCTTTTTTTCTTGGTGTTACACTTATTTTCCTCGGAATTTGGTTTAGTCTCTCGTTTGAAATTGAAGGCTAAAGGCCTTCCCTACCATTGTAGCCATCTTCAGCTTCCTCAGTGTATGGCTGTGTCGGGTGTGTTGTTTTGGGTGCTTTGTTTCTCTCAGTTCTTTTGGGGTATCTTTATTAACATGTGCTTTTAGGTGGAGCTTCGCTTGGCTTTCCTCAGCTCACGGTGGGTAGAAATGCCGCAGTTTTCAAAGCTCTGCTTAAATGCTGACAAGGGATTGCTTTTGCCTCCTTGTGATTTTTAAATGCTCTCAGTTGAGTGTCTGTTAGCAGCAGGACATTGAAGACTTGTACTAATCCTTCAGGCTGGCAGATGCGATCCAGAGCCCTTCCTCATGCAGAGGAGGGAGAAGGTGGGGTTTATTTGCAAGCTGCTAGCAGGGCAGTAACTTCCATACGTCATACTTTGTCCCAGAGAGCCTTCTGTGTAACTTCAGGCCCAGAAGGGAGGTTGCTGGCTTGGAGGGTAGCTTAGCGTGCTGAGAGGTGCTGTTTCTGACTGCTCTTCTGTTGGTTTCCTGACATACAAAGTCCTGGTCTTGCCACAGTTCACGGCAGTTGCACACAGCAGGTATTGCTTCCAGGCAGAACAACCCTGTTTGTGCAGAAGCTCTTTATGGTCTTCCAGCCTTTGGCATCTTTGAACTTACCAAGAAAAGTTCCTGCATCAAATGGAAGTATTTGTGGTTGACTGGTATGGGGGTTCTTTGTCGTGTGGATGGGGTTTTGTTTCATGGGCGAGTGGGCAATACTTGGAGCAGCTTAGGGAACCTACTGGCAGACCACAAGGCTTGTTTGCCTTCCCAGCTGGAATTACATTGAGAGTCATCATTCTGCTTTACCCAGCCTGTGAGATGAGGATTTCAGCCTTCGGTCAAAAGGCTTCTGCTTGTTGGTTCTGAAAGCTGATGCTGGTTTTCTGTTGTTTGATTTAAGTGATACATATCCTCTTATAAATGGGCAGAGGAAAACAGTTGATGCACTCAGTCTTGATGTGTTTTTCTTGTAGTAATCAGCTACCTACCTGCTGCATTTAGGGAATGTTTGTGTCATCTTCTTTTTTCTTTGAGGAAATGAGGTTTATTTGATTTATTCAAACTTGAATAATGTCAGGGATTGTGTGAACTATAAATATTTGCAGTTCTGGTGTGCTCTGTGGCAAAATACTGTTCCTGTTGCGGTAACTCTTCTCTCAGATGAGTACTGACTTTGAACTAAATCTTTACTGCATCTAAAGCATTTAAAGATACTCTATGTACTTCTTGCTAGTGTTAAGCAGAACAGTTTCCCCTTCCCTCATTGAAGGTTGGGTGCACCTACTGAATCTGTTCTGATTTGTCTTTCTTTCTTTCTGAGTACTGTTCAGCTGACCTCCACTTACGTTTCTGGGAGTGTGTTTCTTTTAATGGCCAGATTTTTAAGGTGCAGTTGAAGCCAGCTCTTTAGCAAGGAGAGGTATGTAAAGGAGAATTAAACCTCTGATGGAGGATGGATTGATTATGAGAGTGATGTTCTGGCAAGAGAGTGTGGGAGAGCTCCATGGCCATTTCATATAGGAAGAAGCGAGTTAATCCTTAAGCTATGATTCCAGTTTAATTTTGGTAAGAAAGACTAAAAGCTGAACTTTGAGTGTAATCATAATCATTGATTGGAACAAGCTTTGTTAGTGTGAAGAAGCAAGACGTTCTCTCACAGCTTGGCAACTGGCTCTCTTGGATGCACTGCAAGAGGAAAAATATACTGTGAGAGATGCCTGCATGAGGAATTCCCTTCCTTCCTCCCTTCTTCTGCCCCTGCACTGCTATGGTGTGAAGTGGGAGTTCTGTCCTCTGCCTATTGCCATCTGGTTGCACAGCCTCATAGAGCAGGGGCTGCAGAGTGCAAGGTGCTTACCTGTTAAAAGCTGCAGCAGCATCTGCAAGGCCGCTTGCCTGCTGCTGCTGACCATGAGGGCAGTGGTCTGGTGGGTAGCAGCTCTCCAGTCTTGCTCAGGTGGTGACTTCAGAACCTCTTGAGTTAATGGCTGGGTTGGTGTGGAAGAAAAGGTGACTTGGGTGATGTTTTGGAGAGAGGGCAGAGTAGGCATATGGATGTTCTTCATTCAGGGCTGTGTTGTGCCTTGCTGCCAGAGATGGAAAAGCCTTGAGGAAGCCAGTCATTGAAAATGTTGGTGGTACCTCAGTACTTGGAGGTCCTCACAATTAGGAGCATCTGTGATTCATACTGTGCAGTGAGTTATTTAGAGTACTGATTTCATTTCGGTTTTGAGAGGAAGAGTCAGTTTTCAGCCTACCTTCTCTGAAAATCCAAAGCTGATGAACTGCAGAATACAGGTAAAACATCTGTCTGTGTATTAGCTGTTATGAACAGAAAAAATAGAGATGCAGTGTACAGATTGTCACGAACAGATCTAGTCATCCAGGCAGCAGAGTACCAGTTTTATCTCAGCTAGTTGGATATAACCCACTGCTATTCATTTTAAGACATGGAATAATCTTAGTCCTTCTTGTGTCTGTATTGGAATTCGGCAGACAGGTCTTCTTTTAAGTCTTTTGTTTTTATCTAAAAGCTTTGTTCAGACCCATGCATGTCCAGGCATCATCTCACACAGCCTTTGTTTTCATCTCATCTGTGAAAATGAAAATTGCTTTTAAATAATGCAGTATTAAAAATCCTACATGAAAAGGGGGGGGAAAGGAAAACCTTGGGTTTATTTGGTGTCTCTTGGGGTTTCAGACTTCATCTCCTTGGAAAAATAACTTTTAGAATTTAAAAAAGGGGCTATGTAGTATATTTAGTAATAGGTGTGCTGGCTGTGCAAACCCTGAATTCCAGTGCAAGTCTAACTTGTTTTTGAATACTGGGCTCTGCTGTCACTGTAGAGAACAGTACCATTCCTATTTGAAGAAAACTTGCAGGAGAAAAGCAGTGGCTTTTGGTGTGGTAAAATTGACTTGATTCTAAGAAGTCATATAATAGTCATATTGAGAAATGGCTCTGTCACAGACAGAGCTATTCTTCATTGCCTAAAGGCCTCCATCGAAAATTGGACACTGTCAGTGTTGGTAGGTAACTGTGCAATGGCTTTTGCTAACTTCTTGTATCCAGTGAAGGAAATGGAGTATTTCAAGCAAAACAGGAGGTCATGTAGTTATGTGAAAATGTGATGATGAGCAGGATACTGCTACCATCCGTGCAGCAAGCCAGAGGTATTCTAATACTTATGTCTGTCATTTCTCACGTGATCTGTGTGGGCTATCTTGTTCTTTTTGGTTATATCTTGGTGACTGGCTTCTTTAATGTGTAGAGTCCCATATAAATGATGTCTTTTCTTGACTGTTAGCGGTAGCTATCCAGTAGAAGAATCCTTTCAAGCCCGTTAAGATGTGCCAGAGAACTTGCATGTAAATGGTAACTGTAGTCCTGAATCCTATGCTTTGTGTTGGGTCTATGGGTTAACAAAAAAGCTTTTTATTATGGGGTGGTCGTGATTAGACTTTGCATTTACTGGTCTTAGTGCAACACCAGGAAATAATAGATTTATTGGACAGAGCCCTGGGTGACGTGGTTTAGTGTGAGGTGTCTCTGCCCATGGCAGGGGGGTTGGAACCGGATGATCTTAAGGTCCTTTGCAACCCAAACCGTTCTATGATTCTGTGATTTCTGTTGTTGATTCATCACAGTAGATCTTAACAAAGTTCTAAATACGTATTTTCTTTTTCCCCTCTCACCAGACCTTAATTTATTTTGGATTAGGATTCCCATGGCATGTGAACTAGAAGATACTTTGAAGTAGAAGCTTTCTTTCTTTTGAAGTGACAGTCTCTTATCAAAATGGTTGGGAAACTCAAACAGAACTTGCTACTGGCATGTCTGGTGATCAGTTCGGTGACGGTGTTTTATTTGGGCCAACACGCCATGGAGTGTCACCATCGAATAGAAGAACGCAGCCAGCCTGTGAGGGTGGAGAGTGTGAGAAGCACAGTAAGAACTGCTTCCAATGTGAATGCAAACAAAACCTTTGCTTACAACAAAGACATGCCTTTAATATTTATTGGAGGAGTCCCTCGAAGTGGCACTACCTTAATGCGTGCTATGCTTGATGCCCATCCGGATATTCGATGTGGAGAAGAGACAAGGGTGATCCCAAGAATTCTGGCAGTTAAGCAGATGTGGGCTAGGTCAAGCAAAGAGAAGATCCGACTGGATGAAGCTGGAGTGACAGATGAGGTTCTGGACTCAGCCATGCAAGCGTTTTTGTTGGAAATCATTGTGAAACATGGGGAGCCTGCTCCGTATTTGTGTAACAAAGATCCCTTTGCTTTAAAATCCTTAACTTATCTTGCCAGAATTTTCCCCAATGCCAAATTTCTTCTGATGGTACGGGATGGTCGTGCATCTGTGCATTCCATGATATCTAGAAAAGTCACAATAGCTGGATTTGACCTTAACAGCTACAGGGACTGCTTGACCAAATGGAATCGTGCTATAGAAACTATGTATAACCAGTGTATGGAGGTTGGTTTTGAAAGGTGTATGCTCGTGCATTATGAACAACTCGTATTGCATCCTGAAAGATGGATGAGAACTCTCTTAAAGTTTCTTCGCATCCCATGGAACCAAGCTGTGCTGCACCATGAAGAAATGATTGGAAAAGCAGGGGGTGTTTCTCTTTCAAAGTGAGTATGAACGTTCCTCCTTTACCTTGTATTGTTCTAAGAGCTAAAATAGTACATTTTGCATAGAAAAGACTAGTCATAACTTGGATTCAGTTTTTAAGTAGCTAACAATGTTTTGGGAAACTGGTTTATGATGCATGTTAGCTGGGAAGTAAGAATCCCTGTTACCTAATGATTTGCAGTCTCTGATTGCTCCCATTAAACAACTGTCCCACTAATGTGTATGGAGCATGTGAGTGAATTTTTAACTAATGATCAGTCTAACTTGAATTTAGATGTCTCGTGCCGGCCTTACCTCCAGTATAACTTTGCTTTTCTCCATGCCCCAAAATGAAGCTGGCTTATTTTATCTAGGCTGGTGTTACTTACCCTGGCGAGATCACCCCTTTGATTTCAGGAACTTAAGGCCTGTCAATGCCAGAATGGCTGTTGAGTTACGTTTGCCAAGGACATACTCTTCCAGGAAACTTGAGAAAGCTTTCCAACAAAATAGAGAGCAGAATTGGCGTGCTGTTCTGTTGGCATGTGCTCCGAAAAGAGCAAGCATTTTGAATAAAATTAACCTTGTTGTGAGCAAATCTCTCAGTATTACTGCCGTGCCATCTGTGCACCTGATTTAGCCTCTTTCAGAAACCAATCTCCTGAGAAAACCTAGATGGGTGTTGTGAAAAGGAAAAAGGGTAGATAATTCTCCAGTTAAACTACTCAGGTTTCTTTGCCACTATTTACAGCTGAACATCCAAAATGCTGGCTAGGCTTGCCATTGAAGGGGGAGGATGTGAGTGTTTGAATCTCTCTTCCTATTTTTGCAATGGCAGATACATCTCCCAGGTTGTCTTAAGTTTCTAAAATATTGATTAAGAAGCCCTATTCCAGCAGCAAGGCATGCCCAGTTTAATTCCTTGGCTTCTGGTTATAGAATATTCATCACTAGCCAAATGCTTCTGAGTAACAGAGGCCTTGCCCAGCCTGGAGTGTGGGCTGAGTAGAGACATGTCAGGCTGTTGGATACTGAGTGATTCCAGTGTCTGTAAAAACTACAGGCTTGAGAAATAAATATTGGGAGGTTTGGGTTATTTAATGCCTGGGGAAGGGGCTGTGTGGGTTTTCTAACACTTTGTAGGGGAAGAAGATTTAGAGCAAATCATACCATTATTAGTCAGTGGCTACAAAGAGAGCTTGAAACTCAGATAATGGTCATATATTTACAGCCTGGAGGTTTTGCATCACTGTTCCCACCGAAGAAACACAGCCACCACCACTGTTCACTGTTCATTCTCAGGGCATCTCAACCCCCTTTTTTTGCTGTATTGTTTGTTGTTAACAGATTGAAGACATCTGATAATGTTAACCTGAAGCAGGGCACTGTTGTATGTCTCTGCAAGCCGGATCTGCGTGTGAACTCCTCTTCAGTTACCTGCATCATGTTACTGCTCCACAGTGGCAGCTGAGGGGGGAGTAAACTGAGTGATATAAATAGGTGGTTGCCAAGTTCTGTTAAGTGTCCTGTAAAACTAACTATGCAGAATGTCATTCCTTCTAAATTAGCACTACCTTACAGCTTCCAGATCAGCATTTTTGAAAGTTAGTGGACCTCTGTGTTATACAACTGTAGTAGTCTTACCGAATTCACACAGTTTCAAGTAGTATTTCTGGTTAAATCTGGTGGAATGGGATGTGAGGAGCTGAGAACACTTGTTCGTGTCTCTAAAAATTAAGGCACTGGATTGTTGGAAGTAGAATGTTTACTCTCATGTTTATTTTTGACTCAAACTTTCAAATTCAGGATCGGCAAGTATGAACATGTTCTTTTGAGCTTCAGTTCAATCTGTTCATGGACTGCTGCATGGTTTTATCAGCTCTCATCTGATATGGGAAAGTGATCTGTTATTTTAGAAGGCTCTGGCAGTAGTGGAAAAAGAAAGGGTTTTATTAGTGTTATGTCTAATGTTTTTCATCAAATCAATTACCCTTGAAATAGGTGATGAGATTTGTTTTTCAGTTGCAAGAGACCTCTATAATCTGATAATGATTATATTATTATATATTATATATTATTTATAAAATAATAATAGAATATTAATTAAATGATATAATAATATTATATGACTCAGGCTTTTGAAGGCTGCAAGAAAAACAGTGAATATGAAATTCTCTTCAATGTCTGGTTTGTGTATTTAAATGATTCTAATTGAAATTATGGAGGAGGAGCTTGAGATTCCCAGTTTGATTTCTTTGTACCAGTTAAAACTGCCTGCTTTTAGCATCCCAGCTTCCCACTGCCCTCCTGTGTGCAGCCAGGTGCTGTGAACAGGGACTGCTGCCTGTGTAGGGCTTCCTTGCCCAGAGCAGGGGGTGACTGCCCAGAAGAAATTACCCTTTGAGGAGCAGCTTGCCAGGGATTTCACTCCGACCTTTAGAGTCTGCCACAGGTGAACAAGCTTCGACAGCTGAACAAAACACACCTTGCATATTAGACTTAGTTTTCCCTCTATCAAGTTGCATTTAGCTTGTTCCCAGCTGCAGCTGAGTTCTTCATGGCCTTGGGTGTGCATGGCTACCTTCTGGGGCAGGTTTTAAGCAGCATTGTTCTCTTACGACTTTGACTTTCTCTCTGAGCTTGCTGGGGAGTGCTCTTTGCTTCAGTGTGAATACTGTAATCTTTCAGCTGAAAGAATCGGGACCAGCAGAGCTCTGTATTCTGATGGCTTTCTCCCACCTGATTTTCCAAAGGGATGATGCTGAAGATCACTTCAGACATGATTTAAGGAAATTTGAAACACTGCTGCCTATTGCAACTCTGTCTTCTACTCTGCTTTCTTACAGAGCTTTAATTTGCCACATGCCTGCTGCCAAGTGCTTCAGGCTGGTTCATAGTAGTATATTAAAATTGGAACACTCAAATGATATTACAGTTTTTACTGGCAGAAGGAGAATATCACAAGTACTAAATCATCTGTGTTGAAATCTCTTGTAGAAGAGATTCAGAGCAGCCCTGCGGAGAAGGACTTGGGGGTGTTGGTTGATGAGAAAATGAACATGAGCCAGCTTCAGTGTGTGCTCGCAGCCCACAAAGCCAACCATATCCTGGGCTGCATCCAAAGGAGCGTGACCAGCAGGTCGAAGGAGGTGATCCTGCCCCTCTGCTCTGCTCTTGTGAGACCTCACCTGGAGCATTGTGTGCAGTTCTGGTGTCCTCAACATAAAAAGGACATGGAACTGTTGGAACAAGTCCAGAGGAGGCCACGAGGATGATCAGGGACTGGAGCACCTCCTGTATGAAGACAGGCTGAGGAAGTTGGGGCTGTTCAGCCTGGAGAAGAGAAGCTGAGGGAGACCTCAGAGCAGCCTTCCAGTATCTGAAGGGGGCCTATAGGGATGCTGGGGAGGGACTCTTCATTAGGGACTGTAGTGACAGGACAAGGGGTAACGGGTTAAAACTGAAACAGGGGAAGTTTAGATTGGATATAAGGAAGAAGTTCTTTACTGTAAGGGTGGTGAGGCACTGGAATGGGTTGCCCAGGGAGGTTGTGAATGCTCCATCGCTGGTGGTGTTCAAGGCCAGGTTGGACAAAGCCTTGGTGGCATGGTTTAGGGTGAGGTGGGTGGTTGGAACTGGATGATCTTAAGATTCTTTCCAACCCTAACTATTCTATGATTCTGTGATTCTATGAAATGTGATGTTCATTTAAAAGATCCCACCACATAAGCTTAGCCTGCCTAGTGTGACAGGGACAGTATGAAGATAAAATCAGTTCCCTGGTTGTCAGCAAGGTAGAAAACCTCAAAGTGAGAGAATGATCTACTACTACAATCTGCAAAGGCTGTGATACTGTGTAAAGAAAAGGAGCAGAGAAGCCTGCCTTAATCACCTTCCACTCACTCTAAAGGCTTTCAGACCTTTCACACAGGCTCAGCATCTGCATGGATACCTGGGGGTGGCTTAACTGTTGGAGGGTTTTTGAAAAGAAATCTGACAAGAATTTGTTGTCTTGAAATGTTAAAAAGAAAAAAAGAAGACAGCAGTGTTTTTAAAAGCCCTTTATAATGACAATAATCCCTGGTGACAGAACGTACATGCCTGAGAATATGGTTTTCACTCATCTGCAATCCAACGCTGTCAAATGAAATCTGTATCAGATGGAATGAGGCTCTACGGGCAGTGTAAGATGTTTTATGTGCAGCTGTGTGTAGAATCAGATTGTGCATGCAGGTTGTTTCTGTGCCAGGGATGAGCCAGCCACCTGGCTTGTGGAATTCTTCAGCCACTGAGCTGACTGTTCTTCTCTTCTTGCAAACTCAAGCTCTTATGCAACAGTCTGTTAACAGCAATATTAGGTACCAGACAGCCTGTGTTTAAGATTCTGACTTCATCTGTTCCCCTGGCTGCTTGGTTTGAGGAAACTCTTGGCTGCCTTACTCTCTTTTCCTGCATTTGCTTAGTAATCCCTGTTACTGATGCAGCCCTAGTCTCACTGTTCTGTTTTACTTAGTGTTTTTGCTTCTTGTTTTGGTTTTATCCAGCTGCAAGGAGAAACACGGCAAGGGTTTTAAGGATGTGCATTGCAGCATTTGTAGTAGTGGGAAGCCTTCTGTGGTTTGAAGTAATTGCCAGCGTGGCTGTTGAAGGAATGTACTATGGCTGGACTACATGCTATAACTAGCATTGTTAATATAGCTCTGGCATTTGCCTCCTAACTGAAACCAGCTGTGGTGACCACGGACGTGGAGAAATGTCAGCCCTTTTATAGCGATTTTTTATTAGGCTGGTTATGAAAATAGCTGTCTAAGCAAAATTACTTCAGAATATACTATTTTTAATGCATACCTTTCAGTTGATTCTGGTATGGATGTGGAAGTGTTTGGGGTTACTCGTGTCTTCCACGCTACCAGCTGCTTTCAAAGCTGAAACCATGCCTGTGTTTTTGCAGTGGAGCCTGGCAGCACTTGCCATAAGCATGCATAATCAAATTTGTCAAGACCTGCTATGTTTCCTTGTTTTGATCTGTTTGATGCATTTTTTTGGGGGGGTGTGTATGTGTGGTGTGTGTGTTTCTTTCCTCTTGTCCCCAGTCTGTCTTCCCCCATGCTCCTCAGATGTTCTTTGCTCTTGAAGAATCTTTCCCACAAACTGTGTTTTACTTTTCTTCCCACCTTAACTAAAAGGGCAGAAAAGGATTCATGCTGAAGACCAAATGTGGTACAGTGTATTTTTGAATCCGTGCCTCGGAGGAGCTAAATGTAGCTCCCTGCTTATCTCTCGCCAGTGATTAATCACCAGGAAGTGTTTCATGCTGAGCTTATTTTTACCAAAGACTAAAATGAGAGTGGGGCAAAACATACACGTTTTAAATGTGCTCTTACTTCAGGGCGAGTTAGCCACATGCGTACCAATTTAGGTCCTAACTGATGTGTAACACCCATTGGTTTGGGGTTTCAGTAAGCTCTTAGCCAAGGCTGTTGCCTGGTTCTCTCAGTATCACCCTTATTTTAAATGGTCCAGTCAGTCTGCAGCTTTGGTGATGGGCTTGGCTGGCTCTGAGAGGGAAAGGTCTGTAAATCAAAGCCTCTTCACAGACCTAGGGATGTATTTTTCTTGACAGTCCCAATCAGCATGGTTCTGAGGACTCCTGACTTGTGGTGCCTTGTCCTCTGCCAGGCCACTTTGACCTTCAGAAACTCAGCTCCTAACAGCTATTTTTCTTGCTAATGTGATGTGAAGTTAGAAGCTCATCTTCTAATTAGAAGGCTCAAAAAAGCAATGCCCAGGCTTTTTACTTTGCTCTACAGGCTTGTGACCTCAGGGCAATAGCCTTCAGGAGGGCTGAAATTAGGTTGTGACTCCCCGGTCCCAAAATCCCATTCTGACTTCCTGCCTTTGGTTTGAGCTCCTGAACATGGTTGAAGAGAGCAAGGCTGAATGTTCTGGGGGCTGTCTTGCATCGTTTTGGTCATCAGGTGCTTACTCATCAGCTTCCATTAAACACCTTTTGCAGCCATCTGTGAAGGCTCAGCTTGCCAAGATGGTTTCCCCATACGTGACCATTTCCCTGTCTGGTTTGTTCTGTGTTGATTGTGTTTAAAGTACGTCAGGTACTGACCTTCCAGCATTGTATGGTTAACTTCCTTCCTCTGTCCTGGAAACGCTCTAGCTATGATGACAAGTGAAAAAGAGCAACACGGTAAAGACTGATGACTGGAAGACATGCATGCATGGGTTATAAGGCTTTTGTTGCACAGTCCAGGGTGCATCTAAATGGGATGCTTCTTGCTATTGATTTAATGTTTGTCTGCTCTGCAACAATTCTTTAGCCTCTTCGTGGAGGTTGATTAAGTAACTGTAATCAGACTTGTTCCTCTTGCGAGTTGAGTGATGTCAGTCTTGAGAGCAATCCGACTTTAACTCAGGCTTCTGAGTTCTGAAACTGTCAGGAGCATTTCTGGATATTCCATTTATTTTTTGTAGAAGATACTTTCTCATCTCCTGCCTGCTGTAGAACTGGAGCTGCTTGAGAAATAACTCGATCTCAGCTTTCTCATTCTTTATCATGAGTAGAAAAGCTACTGCTGTTATACTTCATACTGTTACTTTCACATATATCACTTCCATTTCTGAGCGGTAGAGCTTTTTGAGATGGAAAACTCCTCATGATGTAAATAAGGCATGGGAAGAATGGTAGTTGCAAGTGGATGTGAGAGCTGTATGCTTAGCATATAGCAGGTATAGCCATCCAGCAGGAATTACTGATACTGTGGCATACCTAGGGTCTTACTTGCAATGCAGGTGCAAATATTCCTTTGGGCAACTTGTATATACAGACCTGATTATTAATCTGCCTCAGAAGAAAGATAAACCTTGACCTCCAAAACACTTGTGCACTTTTACTCCTCAGCCTGTTCCGAGTCCTGCTGGCCTGTTTGAGAAGTAACACGGTAAAGGTGTATGTTTGCTAACCTAAAAGAAGCAAGGAATGTGGGGGAAACAAAGTGATGACAGATCTCTTCCCTTGGAAAAAACCCAACCCAACAAGCATGCAGCAAAACTAGGGTGCAAGAACAAACATGGGGCCTTAAGACTGTTGACTAAATAAGCAGCAAATCAACTGTTTTCTAAACACAGTACATAAGACACTATGGTTATTCACTTGCCTTAAAGAACTGTGTAATGGCCAAACAATCAGTAAAAGGAATGGTTATGAATAATATTATTGAAGTCTATGGATTTCTGTCATTCCCATAGAGATGTCCTACTGGAAAAGTCACAGTATGTAGGGGGGAAGAAATGGCACCTGGACTTTAAACTTCAAATACGACTTCCAAGAGCATTTAAGACAATGAAAGAGCAAGTGTGGGAATATGCCAGTGGGAAAACAGCTTTATATGTAGGTGTGTGCATACTTTTCACTTAACAGCTCTTTGGCTTTCACTGCTGTCTTTAGGCAAAGAACTTGCCTCAGGACGTTCTGTATGAAAGCCTAAACCATGAATGTTGTGCTTGTTATTCTCGTTTTAGCCTCCTGTAGTAAAACTTCACTTCCCATCAGCTCTGTAGAAACATGACATTTGGAAAGGGGAAGATGAAAACCCGGACAAAGCAAGCGAAAGGCCTTAATGCCAGTGAAGAAGCAGATATTAGTTGGGATGCAAAGTGTAATCTGTCTTTCTCCCTCCACAGGGTTGAAAGATCTACTGACCAAGTAATCAAGCCAGTCAATGTGGAAGCACTGTCAAAGTGGGTTGGGAAGATACCTGCTGATGTTCTGCAAGATATGCCTGTGATTGCACCCATGCTAGCAAAACTGGGCTATGATCCGTATGCCAATCCACCAAATTATGGAAAGCCAGATCAAAAAGTTGTGGAAAACACAAGGAGGGTAAGGCGTTTTTGTGTGTTTAGTGACTGACTAAATGGATGTGAGCTATGGAGCTGAAGAGTCTCATGTTTCGTTTGTTGGGGGATTTTAAAGTCTGTTTCTAATACCTTTTGAAACTTAGCAATGTGGTTTCCTTGCCATGGGGATGAAAAGGAAGAATTCTATGGGACCTTGAGCACCGGAAGTATTTCTCCTGCTGTTTGTCTTCAATTTGGTTTATGTTCCTTTACCCCAACCCCAGGCTTGAGCTGTGTTCTTTGGTGTAGGTAACTAAACCTCTTGAGAGCTGTCCAGATAGTTGGGGAACTAGTTAGTAGTGGAAAAAGCAGCTTTCTCACCCGAGCATCAAACTTGCCTGATGAGCTCAGCTTTTTATACATGAGGGCTGGCAGAAGCTCTGTCACAAAATTACACCCCAAATACTTGGTAGAATTGGAAAAGTGACCCATGGAAAATGGCTCAAGATGATCAAAAGGGCACGTTTTTCCAATGCTTTGCTGTCCTTTGTAGAAGCAAACGAAAGATGGAGGGAAGTCTGGTGCTGATTAACCTAAACTTAAGGATTTAAGCCTGAACTTAATCTTGGAATGTGAGTAGTTAGGCTATAGAGCTGTTTATCCCCGGAGGTATCCATTGGAAAGCTCGTTACCATTGTTTGAAATAAAAGTAATTAATTCCTATGTTCTTTGGAGAATGTATACTTGATTAAAAGAAGGTGCCTTTTGCTGCTGCGGCAAAATAATCATTGGAAAAATTGAATTAAACCATTAAAAAGGACTGTCTTCCACTAGCCTCCAGTATTAAACCCCCCTGGTTCGTATGCTGCTGAGCTAAATACTGATGGAGGGGGGGAAAAAAAGGCTTTTGGGGAAGTCTCCAAACACTTTTGCATTCTTTCTTCTTAGAAGCCTGAATACCCGATTGTGCGTATTAAGGGAAGACAGGTCGGCTGTTTTAATAGTTGTTAGCTCAGCATGGAAAAGGTAACCCACCTTTTCTGGCAGGGGTAGTGGTTAGCATTGTGTGGGTTTCCTGATGCTACTTCTTTTAAAGAAGCTCACAAACGAACTTTTCTGTACCCAATTCAACCCCCTTAAAACAAAAAAAAGAAGTCTTCAGTGCTACTTCATGGAGCCTTGAAAATGAAATCCTCGTGCACCTACCTGTATGTAGTATAGAACAGTGACAGGGTCCAGATCTGTATTCTGTTGCAGTGGTTTAAGGTTGGTTATCTCTTCCTGACACAATTAAAGTACATTTCTGCAGTAGGGTGACCTTTCTTATGCCTCTAATGCCATGCCTTCTATGCATGGCAAGCTCAGTCTGAGGTGTAAAAGTCTGGATCTCAGTTGCTTACTGTTGGGTGGCTTCTTGAAACCTGTTTCAGTTCAAAAATGCAAGAGAGAAATTCAGGTAATAAAGCCACAAACACCTTTAAACAAGTTGAAACCTAATTTGGAAGGCTAAAGTGCATCGTTTGCACTGAAGCATGATCAGTTTATTTACTCATGTTAAAACCAGCTGTGGAAAAACTGGAGGTTACTGTTACAATAGCTGGTCCAAATAGTGCAATGCTTCCTTTGACTGATATTCTAATTCAATAGTTTTACAGTCCAAGGTAGCATTTTAATTTTGGTATTTATTTTTACCCAGTATGTGTTTTCCTGGTCACTCGTTTCTTTACAAAATTCCTTTTGCATATATGGTTTGTAGAGCTAAAGTGAGGGTGATGTCCTGAATTAAGACTAAAACCCAAAACTCCCAAAGGACTAAGGATGGCTAACCTTCAAAACTGGCACTCTTCCTTTTGAAAATGGAGAAACATGAGGCTCTCAAAATGTCATGTACCCCAAGGAGCCTGTGACAGCTTGAATTAGTGTTGGAGCTTTCATTTGGATGGCTTGAATTCCCCCCCCAAGTCACTTTGCTTTGTTTCCTCCCAGCTGGTTCCCAGCAAATCCCTGCTCAGACCATCCTCTTTCCCTGTGACTACAGAAATGCTGATGGCCTCACTTCCTAGGGTTTCAAGATTTAAGGCTTCCCAGCTCCCAGAGCAGTTTGTTGCTTAGGTTACTTAATAGGACAGCAGGCTCATCACCCTCTCTACAAGTGCCAGGCTCTCTGGCCAGCGTGCAGCTCACGTAGTCAATGGCCAAAATGCTGGCTGCTGAGCTTGATCTCAGACCAAGTGTGTTTTGACATGACTGATCCTCTGGTTGGTGATCAGTGGGAGCTGACTCGTGTCTCAAACACACTTTGGTTTGTTTTCCCCACAGCTTTATTTGGTTTTATCTGCCCCCCATTCCCAAATGTTTCAAAACACTTTAAGGTGTTTGGGGTAAAGGGGGGTGAGAGGGAACTGGGATGTGTTGGTTTTGCCTATCAGGGATAGCATGTGCTGCATGTGGATTTGCCCCTTTTTGTTCATGAATCCATACTGGTTTATTCCTTGCTGCTGCCTCTTGATGAAGAGGGCATTTACTTTAAGGTTTTTAAGCATTTATTGGTCTGGATTTTTCCAGCCTTTATGAAGTGGCACTTGGGAAGTGCGTTACTGCATGCTCTGAGCTGGTGACTTTGTGCATTAATATAGCCCTACTTTTGTTCTTGCTTTCTTCTTACATTTCTTCACCTTGGATAGTCTTGCACGGAGTTTTGTGCAGAGTTTGTGGTATGTTGAAGATGAAGCTGTCCAAATAAAATCTTTCCAAAGTTCCTCTTCAGTGCATAAGTACCTATAAACCTTGCTTGTAAGCATTTATTGCTTCACTTTGTGTTTGGAAGCTGTCCTGTTGTATTCTTGTTTGTGGTCTCGGAGAACTTTTAGATTTAACACAGAACTTGAATTTTATGCATTGAAAACAGAAAGTTTCAACTTCTGAAACTGAGCTGTATTGTGGTAGCACAGTAACCCTTGCAGTGACTCACGGGGGATAATATTGAGTTATCTGACACTTGCGACTCTGATACCATCATAGTTTCTTAGTCCCTTTCAAATGGCTTGAGCTAGCACTTCAGATGATCAGGGGACTGGAGCACCTCCAATATGAAGACAGGCTGAGAGAGTTGGGGCTGTTCAGCCTAGAGAAGAGAAGCTGATGGAGACCTCAGAGCAGCCTTCCAGTATCTGAAGGGGGCCTTTAGGGATGCTGGGGAGGGACTCTTCATTAGGGACTGTAGTGACAGGACAAGGGGTAACGGGTTAAAACTTAAACAGGGGAAGTTTAGATTGGATATAAGGAAAAAGTTCCTTCCTGTAAGGGTGCTGAGGCACTGGGATGGGTTGCCCAGGGAGGTTGTGAATGCTCCATCCCTGGTGGTGTTCGTGGCCAGGTTGGACGAAGCCTCAGGTGACATGGTTTAGTGTGAGGTGTCCCTGCCCATGGCAGGGGGGTTGGAAGTGGATGAACTTAAGGTCCTTTCCAACCCAAACCATTCTGTGATTCTGTGATGGGAATTGCTTTTGTCTGGCACACAAAGTAGCTTTAAGGGGCAAAGACTGATGGGTTGGTTTGGTGTGGTTTGGTGTGTGTGTGGGGTGTTCAGTTTTGTGGGGGTTACGTAAATGCTGGCTTAAATTGATTGTGGAAGTTGCAACAACAGGGTGGAAGGCCAGCACCACTGAAATTACTGGCAAGGGAGATTCCGGCTCCACCTAAAGATGGAACAAGGTTGTGTCATCTAGTGCATTGCATAAAGATAAGGAGAACATGAAATTCATTTTCAGGCTGCAAAACAGCTTCTGTTGAGTGCAGAGGGGTCAGTATTTTATGAGCAGAAGCCTGTGCATTGCCCAGTTGTAGAAGATAACTTAAGAAAATTACAAGCTTTAAACTGCCCCATGTCTGTTCTGAAATGTGCTTAAATGCTGTGTCTAGAACTGCACTGACTGCACTGAGCAAAGTCGATGGCTTCTTTGTAAAGACTACAAATCGGACTTGTCATTGCTGAGCAGTATTTTCACTGTTAAGATGCTGCTGTTAGTCCTGAAGTTAAGAACTGACAATGTAAAGGTGCCTAAACCAAGGGCTAATAATGAAGAAAACCAGAAAGGAATGGCTACTGTGATGCAGAACATTAGCTTCCCCACACCTTTCCAAGCAGTTCAGTCCCGTTCTTGTTTCTTCTTCTTTTCTCCTTTGCTGTCCCTCTGCTGGTGACTGTACAGGTTAATGTACAGGTTATGTATGGGTTAAACAATCCTTTTTTGTTCAGTCTGGAAGCAAAATGATGATCCTCACCAGCTCCAGTACAGGGCTTGAGTTAGAATTTCTATGTGCTCCTAGGTAATGCGATGAAAACAGTGCTCTCTGCTAAGTTTTGGGTTTTTCACTTGAGTGCTACCTGCCTGGGGCACCGGAATGGTTAGGCTGGGTTTCCATGCCACTGTAGCACAGCACAGAAAAAGATGCAACCACTGTGTGTGTTTTTGTCACCTTAGTTCTGCTTTTGTTTCAGGAAATACCAGTGTTTGAAGCTAACCTCATCTCTTCTTACACTGCTCTCCAAGTGCTGTGTGGTGTTATGAAATAAGACTCTGGCAGTATCTGCGCTGGTGGAGTACAAATCCAACATGAGTATAACAGAATTTCCTGATGTTTTCAATAACAAAGCCATTAACTTCTTGTTTATCTGCTTTATGTTAACCCTGGCAATATCCTCTTTTATGGCATGTAACTTTATCTTGTCTCGGTTTAAGGAACGCAGAGCAGAGAGAACAAGGTCTGAATAGTATTGCACTATGCAGCAGATCTCTGCATGCAACCTCCTCAAGAGGCAACTTTTAGTTATTCAATGACTGCAGGATCGGGTCATCTTGTGTTTTCCTTCTAAGCCTGTTGCTGGTCTCTTCATTGTATTGTAGTGATTGCAGGAGTCCCTTCCTTACAGATACACAACTGACTACTTTTCTTCCTCCCCTAGAGTTTTAACATATTCTACATCCTGAACATAAAGGAGAACACCATCCTGTAACTACGGCGTTTCCATCTGCAAGTGATGCAGAAAATTATTAAGCTTTCTGCACTGGTAGCCCCATCACTATATGATGAATTACATAAGTAGAATCACTCCCATGTTAGACGTGCCCGATACGTCCTTATCAATATTGTGAGTCAGTAAAAGCGTATGTCAGCAGTTTAACAGCATGTACCAAAAGTGGAGAGCAGCTCATAACTGGAAGACTCTGACTTATGCCCAGTAGAAACTGGCTTATTGTTATGTTATGATTGGCTAAGTGGTTTCCTCTCACATCTGTAACATATTACATCAGATTTTCTTTGGCACGTACTTCCCCCACTAAATGAATTTGTATGCCTGGAATACGTATTCTAGTCATTTCTTTTAACTTCTTCATGAAGTTCCTTGCCCTGGAGAGGTTGAGGGACGGAAGTGTATAGGACCGTGTAGAAAAAGCTATGGTTTTCATCATGACTGTTTAAATATGTGTGGCTGCTTCTAATCACATCCAAAAGCTGTTCTCTATCTCTGGTTATAGTCTGTTGATGGTATCCTCTGCAGTAACATCCAGAGGAATAAACCAGCTCTACTGACTCCTGTTCCGTGCCTGTTTTAAATTGTGAGGAAATGTCTCCTGCTGTTAAGACTAGAGACATCCATGACAGTCCTGATGTCGGGATTTTATATTTGGGGTTTTGGAGACAGAAACAATCTATGGTAAAGAGTGTGAAGTATATTTATACCGATGCATGAGAATCATTACTTGCGCTGTCAAAGATGCATAATTGAGGTATGCTGTAATGACAGGCTGCTCGAGGCCGTGCATCTCTGCTTACACTGCATAAGTTAAGCATAAAAGCATTGGGCTTCATGGGCATTTTCTGATATTGCAGGGTTTATTTCGTCTCTGTCATTTCCACCAACAGCACAGACTTCCTCAGTGTCCTTTAGATTTGTTTAACACCCTCTTCAATGGGCTTTTCATATACGATCAATGTGGCAAGTAGGATTATTAACAAACAAAACACAAAGGTATGGTTGCAAGCTGCCTTTTGGTGGACATTCATAGCCCAGTCTAAAATCTTGCTGTCTGTGTTAGATTTACATCTCAGAAGTCCCCTTACTTGGCAGTTACAACAAAGAGGTGAGGAATCGTGTAAGCCTTGTGAGCTGCCTTAAAAGCCAAGGGAAGTCTGAAAGAGCAGGATGTACCTGCAGGTACTGTGCAGTAAAGGGCTGTTTCTAGAAGGGGCTCTGCTCTCTTTTTGTCAGTGTTCCCTTTCTTTCCCGTTAACAATTAAACACTTCTGGCCTTGTACTCTGCCATTTGATGTTTTGAAAGTCTGCCAAGCCCATGTACCTGCAAGAAAACTTGCAGACAAAAAGACCCATCATCTCCACATACTACAGCTGACCCAGTATGATGTGACCCTATCTAAACCAGGCTTGAAAGTGGGTGAAAAGGAGTGCTTTGATCTTCTATGAAGATGAATTCTAGGTTACACTTCTGAGTTACACTTTTGCTCCAAAGTTTTCCTTGAGAAACCCCTTTAGAAGGGTTTTCTCAGCCAGCTGCATGTGGGACTTGTTTTCTGATCTCTCTCTGCAAATACTATGCGTTTAGTTTGGCTTATAAGAATGTGCTTTGTTGTTTGAATAGAACACTGCCAGCACTGAACAACAAACTGACACAGGCTTAAGATTCCTCCTCCCTCTAGAAATCCCTTTGGACTCGCAAAATAATTCCCTTAGCAATGGTAAACACCATTTCTGCTCTATTTTAACGAATTCTTGCTTAGACTGGAAATCATTCCAGTGTCCTGCTTCTGCCTCTGCTCCTGCTCTCTGGATAACGGGGTTTCGACTTAGAAATTGGTCAGGAAAGAATTCTGAATCTGAAACCTCTCAATTGCTTTGGCTGCTGCTGGAGTCATTGTTTTTGGAATTTCTGGATTGCAGTTGATGGCTGGGTTTTGATTCCAAAGGACCACTTGCTGGGTTTGGAACTGCTTTAAGCCAGTTTGCATGCAGTCTCGATCTCGACAAAACCAGTGTTCTAGGTAATGTCAGTTCTGAACCAGAATCAGTGTGTTTAACCTGATCTCGGTGGGCCTGCCACTGGTTAGGTTTGCCTTTGTAAACTGTGGTGTGTAAATTGTGATGTTTCATGTGACGATAATAGCAAGTGCCCCCGAAACATTTTCTTTCCAGGCTATGACATTAGCATTGCTGATGGATGAATACCCTTGGCCAACCACTCTTAGGTAGATGCCTATTAGGAGTAAATGCTGTTCTTGCAGAGGGCATCACAGTGGGTAAAGCTTCTAGAGCAGACACACATACAGGTCTGAATGTATGTGTGTGAAAGCTAGAGCATGTCGTAGTTGCAGGAGAAGGAAAGGAGGAGGCTTCCAGAGAGACAACCACGGGTTTTGTCACTCTGGGTCTGAATCAGTCACGATGTACCACCATCATCATCAGGGTTAGCTCCTTTGGAGAAGTCCCAGATACTGACTGTAGTGGTTTGCTAGGAATGGTGAGGAAGGCTGTGTCTTTCTTCCAATATCAGCACCAGTCTCATAAAGATAATAAAATGGTGGGGGTTTCTTCTGGTGAACCTTGTCTAGGTTGTTCTGCAGCATTTGTTTCGGTGCTGATATTGCTGATTTGTAAGCTCCATTTCTGCTCTCTAGAGCACAGCCTGCATTTGAATGGCTTGGTTAAGAGCTGAAAACATGAAATACTTGCCTTTATGTATAAATATTGATGGTATATCCAGGCTCCAGTGAGCCACACACTGAAGTCCTGACTGGTGTGGCTTTCATTAGGCTTTCCATGGGAATGACAGTCCCCTCTGGCTAAATATAAATGAGAGCTGTGCCTATCAGTTTGAATCAGCCTTTCTCTTTGATCTAAACCACAGCCTATCGGAAGGAGCGGGGTTCTGCAGTGTGGAGTCGTTCCTGCTCTCATGTTGGGACTTAGTGAAGCCTTGTTGTTTGGATGTGTTTAGCCTAGTGATGAAGAGCGGTGAGAACTGCCAGCTCCTCAGTCCACTGCACATGAGTCACAGGTTTAATGCTGCAGCCCGTTGTGGGGCGAGACAGGAAACCCAGAGCTGACTCAGCTGCAGGCCAAGGCCATGGCTGTAGATGGACAAAACGTCCTCATGTTCTGGTCATCTCTTGGTAGGGAAGTGGGGAAAATGGGGATTGCTAACCAGCATCCCTTGACTTCCTGAACCATCTTCCTTTGGTGCCGTTTGCAAGCCAGGGAGTGCAACTGTGAGCGAGGCTTTAGAGCAGCCCCATTTCCATTGTGTGTACTTGTTTTCTCCCCCTGTTTGGAATGTCTTCCAGTTTGATCTCGGAAGCAAACAGCTCTTAAGAAGTATCCTCTAGAGAGAAGACAGCAGCTTGCCAATTTGTTGCCTGGTTGGCCAGGTAGTGGGAAGCTTGCTGTGCCTGTTGGGGTGCTTGAGGGCATTTCTCACTTGCTCTGTCTCCAAACAGCGTTGGTTCAGGATTAACGTTATGCTGTGTAAGACTGGAAGTTGTGGAGCGACAAACTCTGAGGTGAGGCAGTAGTGAGGGGGCAGTCATTGCAGAAATTCACAATCATCACAGTGACAGCCCTGCTGAGTGGTGGGGCTCTTCTGCACTCATATGAAGACATAAAGTCTGTATGTATATTAGTATGGAATAGAATAGTCTCTTCCAGTTGGAAGGGACCCACACCAATCACCAAGTCCAAATAGGAAAGGATTATCCCACTGATTTTATTCATTTATATATATCTTTTTTTCCCCAGTGCAATAGATGAAAAGCAAATTAATGGCTAAATGGTATGAAAATAATAAAGCAACCTGGAGGCTTATCCATCCCTCCAGGAGCCGGGGATTGTGGATGTGTGTGTACAGCTGTGTGGGAAGGATTTGGGCGTCTGATCTCACACAGTGTCTGTGCTGAGTGACTCAAGGTCTGACACACAGTGCTTGGGGGAAATTGCTAGAAACAGCTGTACTGTTATAATATATATATCTGAGATGATATATAATACATCTGATACCGTTATAGTGGTATCTGTGTGTCTTGAAGATGAAAGCAAATGTATGAACTTCCCTGTTACCTGAAAATCACACCAAATTGCATGTGGAGTAAAGGGATCGGTATGTGTAAGACAGGGTAAGGAGATGCTGATGCTCCCGAGTGGCCGTTTCAGCAACACTGCAAGGTAAGTTGTTAACATTCTCACACTGACTGTAGTCGCGTTGTCTCGATGAACTGCATCACATCTGACAGAGCTTTCCTTCGGCAGCACAGCACCGTGGGATCAGTTGTTCAAGTGGGATGCGCCTGTTTGTGGCATTGATACGTGTTTTGTATGTAATGAATACGGTAGCAGGTCAGAAAAATTGCGTTATGGGGCATTTGTTGAGTTGAATTGTAGTTAAAGGGATTTTATATAGTATATAAGTGAGGGTGCTAAAATGTGAAACAACAGATTTATCACATGTAAGCCTCAAGTTTGACGTGCTAGCGAGTGACTCCCGGTGTAGTTCATCATCCTGTTTTTCTAGAAGCATAGTGAATGGCTCACACAGGACTTACTTAAGCTTGAAATGTATGAGTTACGTAGTTTGACCTTTTAATGCAAACAAGGTGGGAGTGTTGAGCACAGAGCGAGCCTGGTACTGGTCATACAGCTTCAGCCAGCCAAGCCTCGTCAATAAAGTCAGCTTTTAGAACCAGATTGTGCTCAGTTCAGGTAGATCTGGTTAGATCCTAATTACCCAATTACCCTAATTACCCAATTAGATCCTAATGACCCAAAAGAATCTTTCCCCCTTAACAAGTTCTTTACCGTTTCAAACAGCACTGAATGCTGGCTTTAAGTTACCTCTTGTTTCCTGTTTTCCAGGTCTATAAAGGTGAATTTCAGCTCCCTGACTTTCTTAAAGAAGTGCCACAGGTACAGTATTGGGTTAATTTGCTTTTTGCAGGTGTAGTGGCAAGTTAGTGTGTAACCAGTCTGTATAAAGCACTCCTTCATACATGTGATTGTGACTGATCACAGAATAGCTCACCCATGAGATGGCATCTGCAGTGCTCTTGCACCAGCAGCCCCAACCCTGTTGTGAGTGCAAGTGTAACTCCTGTGTGCTTATAAACCTGAGCTGAATAAATATTGCTGTGAAACTCAAGGACTCTCTTTTGTGCAGACCAGACCACAAAGTTTGTTCTTTGTAGAGAAGCTTCATCTTTTGTTGCCTTGCATGGAAAGGCTTAAAGCAAATACAGACCAGGCAGCAGTCTTTAAAGAAAGAAATGCTACTGTAGGAGACAAACCAAGCAAAACCAGTTCAGCCATGGCTAGTGATGGCGTAATAATCAAGTGAACTGTTGAACTTTGGATTCCAGGGGTGCCCCATCCCTGGCAGTGTTCAAGGCCAGGTTGGACGCAGGGGCTTGGAGCAAGCTGCTCTAGTGGAAGGGGTCCCTGCACATGGCAGGGAGCTGGAACTGGATGAGCTTTAAGGTGCCCTCCAACCCAGACCACTCTGTGAAGGTATTTACAGTTCCTAATCTGGCACCTTTCAAATGCTCTGAATTGTCACCAGCTCCCTAAGGGACCTTTGCAACAGCGGCTGACAAAGCAAAATCCTTAGCATGGAGCTCTCCAGCTGCAGGATCCCCTGATGCCTTCCCCCAGCTGTGTGAGTGCGGGAGGCGTGCTTCCAGCCTCATGCCCTTCCCTCATGTAGCATCGTGGAAGGGTTTGGGGCTGTAATCACAAACCCATTTACAGGCACAGGTACTGGAAGGTACTGGAGCACAGGAGATAGACTTGTTCTGCGGAGCTGCCTGGTGGAGCACTCCCCTTCAGTGTACTGAGGGGTTTCTCTGTGCGTTTCATTTTATTCCCCTCTTCAGTGTGTAATGTCATCAGTGCTCCCTCCCTTGCAGATGTAAGCTCCACTAATCCAGCCGTGAAAAATCAGAGCAGATGATCCAGACAAGGAGCAAATCCTTTAACTTCCCTTGTCAGAGAAAGAACAAGATATTTGTGTTTTATTGCTTAAAGGAACCATTTTATAGGAATAAGAAACAATTGGTTTTGTTTTCTTGGGTAAGAGCTGCTCAACGAGCCTCATAAAAATACCAGGTTTTGTAGGCTGTATAATTGATGGTAAATGTCTAAATGCCATCTAAAGTGCTCTCCACATTGTGCTTGGATAGAAGCAGCAGGAAGTGGTTCATCTGTCACTGTCTCATATAAAGCTGAGTAGAAAAATACTTGGGTTTTTTTGTTGTTTTGGGGTTTTTTCAACTCCTTGTGCATATACAGGAGCACCACAGGTGCTGCAATTAGGAGAGAAAGCATTGCTAGGGGCACTCTGCCTCCAGCCTTGTCTCTCTGCTTGCAGTACTTTGTATTTCCACTTGATTTCCCATCCTTTCTGATAGCCCACAAGTTTATTTCGAATGTAGGTGTAAGCAGCCTATCAATCAAAACTAAAAAGATTTGCAATGCCTTTGCTTTACAAAGGAACAAACCCCCCCAACAATAAAGCCACCTGATGGGCTTCCAATCCCCAGTGTTAGGAAAGGGTTCTTTGACTGGTGTGAGCTGTAGGGATTGAAGAACACACAGGAACACCTACCACATGCAAAGAGGTTTTTACTTACTCAGTTCATTAAAAGGAAACTGAATTGATTAAAAAGGAAAATTGGTTTCTTCTGTTCCAGCCAAAGAAGACAGTAGAAGGGAAGTCTCGTGGCAAGATAAAATGAACATGGATCAGTGAAGTCGAATAGCTGTAGTGTCTGTCTCATGTTTTCAGAATGTAACTTTATGCTGTGGACACCAGTTCTTTCTGATAAAGCTTTGTGTGATCTCTTACGTGGGCTTTGCTCTTTATACTGGATGTTTGCCTGCTCTCACCCTTTGAACAGTCAGTGCTCATGCTTTGCAAGCCGTGCTCAGCTAATAGAAAACCATTAAGAACCTGGCACCACGCAGCTAAATGTGCTGTTGCTCACAGCGTTGTTCACTCTCCACTCTGTGCAGCTTAACGGCAAGGCAGCTGTTTAAATGTGTGCTGCTTGGAAGTGATGGTTGTCAGCAAATTGTACTGGGAAAGCGGGCTGCAGTCATTTGTAATGCTTCCAAATGCAATCATCGTGGTTGGTTGAAGGTTATCCACCTACAGCGTTGCAGCTGAAGTTGCAGCAGGCCGGCTGCAAGGACAGGCTATGCCAGAACAGGAGATGAAGTATCGCTGAGGAGTTGGGGGCAGTCAGGGAGATGAGCTGTCTTTAACGTTGAGCACACTGTTCAGATAGTGTGTGAGCAAAATAAAAGAGCTTATGGGCTGCCTACAGGATCCATTGGTTAAATTACACTTTGTATTTGCCACTTATCTTGTGATACAGCACAAGAACTTGGTCCACTGCTAGTAGTGAACATCCTCTTCCAATCCATATGCGAGGGAGGCTTCAAAATGGGACTCGGCTACATTTCAGGAGGTGGATTTTTACAGTTGGCTGGGTGTGCTTGCAGCACTGACCAAGCTCTGAGCAGATTTATCCAAAGTAAAGGAAGGTCATCTAAAGAGCAAAAATAAGCTTTGTAAAATAGGAAAAGAGTAGTGCTTAAGCCATAAAACCCGACACTGGAACTGATGCTGACAGTGACGTTCTTTACTATTCTACTAAAGATCAAATTAACTAAAGCTCAAATGTAACTAAAGAGCCAGAGGGTTTTGAGTACAAACACTGGTGCTGGTGATAATATTTTTTTCCTCTAATATAAAATAGCTAATTTCATGTTATTATTTACCTGACAGACTGAACCTATGGAATAGAAGCTACCATGGATGTTCCTTGCACAGCAGGTAATAAGAGCTTGCAGTCCTGCTCATTTGCTGCTCTTGATGCAGTTCAGGTGATTTTCTTCAAGCTGTGTAGCTCCATGTAAGATGCTGGGGTACAGAACCCAGAGATACAGATCTTGGTTCAGAACTGGGGAGAGTAACATTAAGCTCAGGTGGTGAGAGCTACAGCAGCATAGCCTGTGTGCTTTATGCTTCACACTGCAGTTCTACACGGCTCATCACAACACAGTGGTGAAACATTCAAGGTGCCTCTTAACCAGCTTTGGCTTTCATTTTTAAATTGTCCTTTATGGATAGAGGAAGCTGCTAAAGAGGAGCTGATTTGTGTGAGGTGCTTTCAGAATGTCCCAGAGCCAGCACTGGCAATAACCTGCATTTTCGTTGCTGAAGTAAAGGCAGCAAGATTGGGCAGAGCACGTGGGAAATTCCAGGCTAGTTAGTGACTGAATGGTGCAAGAGTCACTGTATTAAACCAGGGTTTTTACTTGTCCACTGTGCTACCACATGTTTGAACTTGACAACAAAAGGTGGTAAAATGGGCACAATGCATCCAGTTTTAAGTATAGCCAAAAGCAACATGCCATGCAGATACCATCCAGCATCCATATTTAATAGGTGGCCATAAATATAGCAGTCTATAGACCTAAATATAGCCCAAAGCATCATCCCAATTAGAAATAATGGATATAAAAGTTTTCTAAAGCCTAAGTGCAGGCATTCATTCTGGAATCAATAGAGAACCCATAGGCTTGTCGTGTAATCAATGTTAAAATGACTAAACCATCTACTTCACTTTGCCACTTTGCTCTTTGACAAATGTATTTAGAACTACAATATTCCCATCTAAAGCTGCTGTCCAGTTTCCAAGAAACCACTTTAACTTCCCAGCAGTAACTACCAGTGGTGCATTCTCATGAGAGACACACTTTCAGCGTGTAGATGCAGCCCACTTCCACATGTATTTTGAGTGTAAGTGCAAATTCATGAGATATATTCATATATATACATGAATATATTATATCTAAATATGCTTGAAAAGCAGCCGGATTCCTTACAGGAACGTTTTAGTGGCTGTGACTTTACCTACTGAAAGAGCAGTGATTACTCATAAAGCTGCAGTCTTTCTAATTAGGGATGGGTGTCAGGGATATAAACCAGACTATCAATCTATCATCTATCAATCACACTGAAAGCTCACACATAACTTTCTTTCTCTTCAGAAAAGACGCAGCCTTTGCACTGGAGGTGCTGCCACCAGGACGGTCCCGCTGCCATCAGGGACACGCGCTGCTCGGGGCCTGCTTTCCTCTCGGTGTTCTCCTCCCTTTCTTTCATGCTGTTTTTGTTCAAGATGTTGCTGTTGTGGCCCATGTAAACTCACCAATGGTAAAGTAGAACCGTGTTACAGTCACACCACTCGGGGGTTTTCGGTTGAGAAGATTCCAAGCAATGCTTGTCTCAAATTGCTATTGTCTTCATGACAAACCTTCGGCTTCAGCTGTTTGCTTTCCTGCATCAATTTGGTTTTTCATGTGTGAAGCTTTCAAAAGAGTGGTCTGTGCTTGTCCTAACACGTTTCTGGTGGAACTGTTGTTTTATTCACGTGTGGAAACTGTTAAATATCTTTTATTTAAAACAAAGGAGTTGATAATTCCCTGTACAATTATAATTCAATGATCTTTTGTATTTTATTTTTCAAAATAAATGCTTTAAATGTGATTTTGTTTGCCTCAAAGATTTAAGTAATACAGAATATTGGTGCATTACTCAGATGCAAGATACGCTCGAAGGGCCTGGGTTTGGATTTCTTTTTAAGGTTTGCAGTTGAATGTGGCTGTTTGCTTTTAGTGGATGGGAGATGAGGAAAAAGTAAATTAGAGTATCCAATGGGGAAGTGTAATGTGAGACCTGGTTATTACAGGAAAAATCAGGTCAGTTTTAGCTTCCCGAGTTTGTTCCTCAAAGGCAAATCAGTTCAGACAGATGGTGCTGGTGTGAAGCAGCTGCTGCAACCCTGCTGTGGCACGTGTACCCTAAAGGGATGACTGACAGATGCTCAGTGTGGAACAGGATTAAGCAAAGTAAGGTTTTGGGAAGGGTTTTTGAGTCTCAGTTTCTGCTCACCTCAGTGGCTCTTGGCATCGTGAAGGTGGCCTTGTCCTCCTACACGCATTGGTAAGAGTTCTCTCCACTGTGCTTGTCTTTCCACACGTTTTGCCTGTTACAAATTCGAGCAGGTTTTGGTTTTCTCTCGTTTGTTGCTACAGCTGCCGTTTGAGCTCGTTAACCTCTGCTTTAACACCAGCACTGCCTGAGAGAGACCTGCAAGTGCGTGCCTAGAGGGAGTAAATTCGTTTTACGCTCGGTACAGTCACCTCATCTCCACCACCCGCAGATGATGCTCGCAAAAGCAAACCCGGAGCCTCCCCTGGTGCCGGCAGTGGGAAGCGCTGCCCATCGCTCTCCCCCTCGAAAACGCTCCGCCGCTGCCCCCCGGCGGCCCTAGTGGGATCTGCCAAAGCACCTTAACCCTGGGCCAGGCTCACGCAGAAGCTTCAAGCTTGCGTTGTTGGGGGGAGAGGGGAAATAAGTGCGTTTGTCAGTGCGAAACAACTCACTGGTAGCAGCGATTGTCTTAATTCAGTTTGTCATCAAGCCCCCAGCACGGTGCAGGCTGCACACTCCTCCTGCTTGCTGCATAGTGACTCAAATCACGTATTAAGTACAGCAAACCACAGGGAGAGGTCTGTGCGTTCCCCAGGCCACATTTACTCACCATACACTTACCTCCGTGGAGTCACGCAGCCTGCAGCCACAGCATCGCACCAGGAGGAGCCTGAACTGCTGCAGGAGTGTGGAAAGTAGAAACATGAACACCAGCTTTTACTATGCATATTAATAAATATTCTTTATTTAAATTTTGCACATTGCGCTTTAACATATTACATCCAAAACATCTTGCAAATGGATGTCTACTTTGTAAAATCTTATATTCAGCTCATTGTCATTCTGTACAGAATTATAGGTACAACATTACTTTGCCACTAGTTTGCTTCTTGTAAGTCTCACAGTAAGAGAAACATTGACTGAAAAGAGATGGCTTTAAATTATAAGAGAGGCTTGCACAGCTACTCAACTAAAGAGACAAGCCTGAAGAAAGAACAGAATTAATGAAACCACCTCCACCAGCCTCCCCCAAAAAAACAGAAAAAAAAAGAATCACATTAATTTAAGATAAAATTTGCCATAAGTCACAAAATTAAGTTTTTGAAAGAGAAGACGCAGTAGTCATCGAGAGGTTCAGTGAAAGACAGAGCTACTTTATTGGCTTTAGTTCACTCCAGCCGTTGTCAACCAACTGTTACAAATGGGCCCCTTGTGATCGTTTAAGCGGCAGTACTTATTAAATTTCTCCTTCAGATGCTGTCGGTATTGTTCTCTATTGCTGTAAAAAGACTTGTTGTTTGCCATAAAGGACTGGATTTCATCTTGTGAGATGAAGATTTCCTCATCAGAAGTGCATTCAGACTCATCCTGCAAAGGAAAGCAGGCCTTTAAGAACTCGAGCATCACCCTTCCTGTGCAGCTCACCTCTTGCAATTGTACTCAGGGTCTACCCTTGCCCTGATGACACCACAAGCTGTACCTGGCTACTGCAGCCACCTGATTGACACACCATACTCTGCTCGATTGTGGTAAGAGTCATGAAGAACCAGAACATGCTTCAGAGTCTTAGCACATTCCCATTGCAAGAGCATTAAATTAAAACTAAGCAATGGAGAAAAGGAAGAAGAAAGGAGCAAGAAGCAGCTGCCCAAGGAGTGTGTAGTGGGAAAGTAATATTTGAGGCATGAAGGCAGCAAAAAACCACATTTCGTTTTATGGAATAACGCAATCCTTGCTAATGAGTAGTTACAATACAAGTTCTGTCACTTGCACTCCAGTGACAGGCAATTTCTCCTCCTCTGCAAAGTGTCTGAGTTACACATACTTTACAGAGAACATGCAAAAGCAAACAAAGCACCAGAATCTTCAGTTACGTTCTCTCTTGTAACAGTTCTTCAGTGAGGTTTCCCTTCTAAACCCCCATCCTCAATCCTGAGGGTTTAAAGCAGTATGCTACAGCCTAGAATTCAAAGGAAGCCGTTACTTACAAGGAGTTCCACTAAGCTTTTGGCACCTTTTCCAGTATCAGGAACAAGTGACATGTCTGTAGGTTCTGCAAACTGTGACACGTTTTTCATATGCTCAAACCAAGGCAACTGCTGCCCACTTTTTTCTGAGCTACAGCAGCTTTCAGCATGTGTGTCTTTGGTCTTGTCGCGATGAAACTCTGTGTGCATGAGATTTCCTGAGGTCTCTCTGTTACCTGGATCTGCCATACAGCTTCCAAGCTTCTGAATCTAGAATGGAAAAGAGCCTGTAATGAAGGACCAGCAGCGTTCAACCTGAATCATTCAAGTTTCAGATGGAGGTAGGGAGAAAGAGGAAAGGAGGAAGTTCAAAAAAGAGAACATGGACATGTATTTTTACATGTGTGTGCCTAGGGAGGAGGGGGGAATGGCATGTCAATTCCCTGAGTGACACAATGTCTTGAGTGGACATGCTTAGCAACACAGGAGAGATTCCTCCCAACCCAACCTATTGTAGGAAGGATCTTGATTTCAAAACATGGATGGAAAGGCACCGGCAGATCCTTGTTATCCCACTTACAGCGTTAGTCACAACTGAAATACTTTTGTAACTACTATAAAACACATGCATTTAAATAAGCACTCTGGAACAGCTGTGCTCCTTACGTGTTCATTCTCACACTTCAAGGTTTTACTTTTCTTTTTCTTCTTTTTGTTTTTGCCTTTTGTGTTACTCTCTTCTGAATTAGCCCAACATTCCACACAGCTATCTCCATCCTCCTCTTTGTCTTCACAGCGATGGACACACGGATCATCTCCTGCAAAAGACAAGGCCATTTGCACTTCAGATACTTAAGTTCAGTGGAT